TGCTTTAATTTTGCTGTCGAGTGTATAACATTTCAATATAACATTTACCGGCTTTTATTGGCATACACTATTTCTTACCTATATTTGATTTGTATATATCGTAGAGCCTTTTAGATCTAATTATTTTTATTAATGTTTTATTTCATACATTTTGCATTTATATATATATATTGCACTTATACATGTTATCAGTTATTCGTTCAATCATCTCTCTAGAATGTAGTAAATTGTTGAAATAGCTAGAATTTTTGTTTTTAATGCCTACTAAGTATACCTTAATGTAAAAACATGTCTCGTAACTGTTTTCTAGCGATTTTGCCAGTATTTGTGTACGGTATGTTGTCAATAAATTTAACGCCGCCCCGCAGCATGCAGTCATTCCGCAAACTCTTTTTCACTAAACTGATAAGCTCTTGCTCTGTTACCTATAAACGAAGCATTTAATAAGTAAACACAATATCTTCAGTTAAATTTAGTGTAAAACTCAAAAGCGATTATTGTTTTGTTGACTTTATATTTAATATAATCGAAAATTAGTGTACTCACCGTTTTACCTGGCACTACAGAAACAATAGCCATTGGATGTTGCTCATCAATTTCATGAGGCACTCCTATTACTGCTGCTTGGAATACCGCAGGATGAGTCAGTAAAACAGTTTCGATTTCCGCGGGTAAAATGTTGCTTCCTCTAAAGTTAATAAACTCAGATATTCTATCAACAATGAAGAGTTCTCCGTTTGCATCGTAATATCCCAAATCGCCGGTGCGTAACCAACCTGAACCGAATTGCGTTTTAGTCATTAATTTTCTTCTATCACTATCTATTATATTAAATCACAGTTTTTAATCTGTTTAAAATTAGCCTCCCATCCTTTTAGAATTAACTTATTTCGAGAGATGTGCCAAATTGTACTAGGAAAATGAAGAGTTAAAAAAACGGTTTTTTTTTCAATTTTTGGATTGCATTTTTCATATTACAGTTTAATATTCTAGCACAATATAGCAAAAACCTAGCACAATTCAGCACAACTCTCGAAATAAGTTAATTTTAAAAGTGACGAGCTAATTTCGTTTATTTTTTTATTAATCTAAATGTTGTTAGTTGAAAATTTCGATTCAGTGTTCCAGTTGTTTACCATCAGAATCGAAAGCTTTTTTGGTTGCTTCAGGATTCCTATAGTAGCCTTTCATTACGGTGGGCACTTTAACACGTATTTCCCCAACTTTATTTTCCTCTAAGACTTCCTCAGTTTCAATATCTATCACTTTTATTTGAACATTAGGTCCAGGAAAACCAACAGATCCCGGTGTACTGTGCTCATTTTGCTCAGTGAGCAAACTTCCTGCATCAGTAGCTCCTATTACGAATTAATACATAACATTAGTAACAATTAAAATAGTGTACAATTTTTATGATTGAAAGAATGTTTGTTGATATTTTTCTTTTTTAAGTTATTTGAATACAAACATTTCTTCTAAATCAGGATTTAATATATCAGAATTTGACGTTATTTTTAACAGTTTTAAAAAATAATTTGTAATATACATTTTATTAACATAACGTCTCAACACGTTCGTTGCTTAGAAAGGACACATCTTTAGAAGCCAATTTAAAAACAGTTATTTTTATTATTTTTACAAAGCAGTATTTGATTATATTTAATCAATTCTACATGAATTCTCGTAATTTTGCTGCGATATGTCAGTATCACGCGCAAGAGCAGGCATTGGTCAATGAAGGATTCTCATTACGCGCTGGCGCATGAACGCTGCTGGGCAGTGAACGTATTAAAAAAT